CGCTAAAAATCGCAATGCTCGTTAATCGCTAACGCTAAGAGTTTATATAAAGGATTGTACTTGTGCAGAACAAGACTGCGGTCGGAGAATGCTTTATCAGTACGTGTTATCATTCTGTGTGTTCTGTGTTATCATTCTTGAGTGTTTAGAGATAGAAAAATAAAGATAAAATGGTACAATGACAAAATAATGAGTGTAAAGAAATATATCTGTGGAAATACCTATGATGTAAAAAAACGTAAATTATGGAATTTACCTACTGCGCACTAGCTTCAAAAATGAAAGTAAAGTCAAATGACTCAAGAGAGAATATAGACATTTGTACATACTTAGCTACATCAAGTCGCATCGTCATAACCAAATAGTGGATGCTTTTCAGCAAGAGTTACATATCAGTCATCCTGTTTTTATTTTTCTTAATATCTGTGAAAGACAGAATGGTTGATATGTGCACGTGTCTCTTGTTGGAAAGCTTCCTATAGCATTTAAATATTTAATAAATAAATGTATCATTATCAATTTTATAGCAGAACGCTAATAGAAGCGATAGAATATTAATAATAATTGTCGATAATGATGTTAATTTTTTACAGTTAACACAAACAACTGGTTTATTTGCAGAAAGAAGAATTGGAGAGATTGAAAAATAATTTTTTTTATAACACACGAGTTTCATTTAATCTGTTAAACATTGTAACTTGTACTGCTTATTGAAATACAATTAACAGTAACTATAAATATTATCGAACCACTTCTTTCAAACGGACTCTTATCTTAATACTTGTAAGAATTATTGCTTCAATAAGACAGAAATCTTAAATATATTGTATAAAAGCATACATTGATTTGACTTTACTGCTACATTTTAATTAAGCTTTTTACAATTCCAATCGTTACAAATAGTACATTATTTACAATAAATATATCTGAAAAAATTTGTCAATCAGGCTATCTCATAGACCTCGGCCTATGAGTAATTAGCGTCTGATTTGATCTCGAAAATATTCAAAATATTATTAGCGGAACGTGACGATTGCCAATCGGCGTGACAATCGGCCAAGTACATATATTATACATATATTGTAACGAAAGTTAATCGATGTCTGATCAAAGAACGAGCTAGAATAAAGATTGGATAATGAAGACAAAATCGTGTAGTTTCTAAACTGGACAGCTATATATTCTTTTCGTAAAACGAGGAGTATTATAATTTGCCTTGCCCAAATTTCATGTTATAATATCGACATGCAGTGATCATATGGCCTGAAAAAATCAATACAAAAATGTAAAGTAATATGTACAATTTAGATTACGATATAATTGAGAACAATAAAAATAATATTTAAAAAAATGGGAGATAGAGAAAAAAGAAATTATGATCAAGAAAATATAAGTTCTTTACACATTACCCTCTCTTCTACAAAATCCGCACTTTCTCTTGCTCTCGATAAGTTTAGGCCTTTTGAGGGCTCCGAAATTAGAATTGCTCGAACGATTTGTATTCTCGCGACTATCTACCTCAACCATCACTCTAAAGACATTATTTTTATATACATTAGATATTAGTAAAGCTATTAATTGGGAATATTAATTAAGGTCTTCAACTCATTTATTACTAATATCATTACGTGTTTAATCAAAAAAGTTTTTCGTTTCTTCTGATCGAATATTTTACTCACTTTACGGGCTGATTACAGCTGTACATAACATTACTTGTGAAAGGCAGGTTTCCCGAAATGTTAGAAGTGCCAGCGCCGGCGTTATCCATCATGTTAGATACTGAACTTGAATATTCGTTCATTGCATTAACTAATTGAGACTCGGCGCTGTCAGATACCGGCAAGAAAAATTTGCAACGGTTTCCATACAGTTTAGTGTCATTAGCGCATTTGTAATACAGACGACCTGGAATTATACAAATGTTATCCGAAGTGACTTATGCGATTACAAATCGCATTTGTATGTAGATGCCACTCACCTTCATGCGGACCTGCTTTTTTAACTAATCGTTTTGCAAGCTTCTGACAATGACACATAATCTTAGCACTATCATCATCAGTATTGGTTGTATTGTTCACGTTGCGAGAATTTCCGGGCGCAGATTGATTTAATTTCTTTACTAATTTATTTATATCCTCAGACATTAAACTTGAATATTCGTTCGTTGCATTACTTTGAGACTCAGCACTGTCAGATGCCCACAACACAAAGTCGCAACGACTTCCCTGCGATTTATTACTGTTAGCGCATTTGTAATGTCTACGCTCTGAAATTACAAACGTTATCCAAAGTGACTTATTTGATTACAAATCGCATTTGCAGATATCACTCACCTTTATATAGCCCCTCTTTTTTAACTAATTGCAT